AAGATGGACAAAGCAAACGGTGTTATTTGTTTTCTCCTGTGTCCTGGAGAGGAAGAACCCTTTACTTCCTCTCCACAGCCCTCATCCCTTCTGTCTGTGTCTCTGTCTAGACGTCTGACAAATGGGAGGAATGGGAGGAGGTCATGGAAAGAACAACCCCCTACAACTTTAAGAGGGGATTTAATGGAGATTGCCTCCTAAATTGTCTTCTGACAAGCTTAGGACCTTCTGTGAAATAAACTGGCCTACTGTTGGTGTAGTATGGCCCTCAGAGGGGTCATTAGATAAGGTCATAGTCAATAGAGTTTTTTGAAGTGGTTGTAGGGGAGCCTGAAACACCCAAATGGTTTCTTATATTGACTGCTGGCAGGATGCAGTCCTCAGTCAGCCCATGTAGTTAAAGCCCCACCTAGGGAAAGCATGTAAGGTTATGGTAGCCAGGGTGGCAGCAGCTTCCAAGTACAGGGAAAAATATAAAAACCCAGAAAAACACATATTAGTAGGGGACCCTGAGGAGTACCTGTGTCCCTTATGTGCCATTATATAGATTAAAGAATTTCTAGGAGCTGCAGGTTTCTGCTGGATCTGGATCCCAATTACTCTCTCTTGGCAAAACCCCTCAAAGAAGCCACAAAAGAGGGAGGACAAAAGCCATGGTATGGGGAGAAAAGCAAAACAAAAGGCCTTTAAAAAAATTAAGAGGGCACTCACAAACGCCGCTGCTCTGGGGCTGCCAGATACAAAAAAGCCCTTCTTCCTATATGTACATGAGAGACTGGGAGCTGTAGGAGTCTTGACCCAGCTGCTAGGTTCCTGGCACTGCTCAGTGGCCTATTTATCAAAGCAACTTGATGCAGTTTCCCCAGACCAGCCACCTTGCCTGTGCACCCTGGTGGCTACTGCTGTCTTGGAGGCTAAAGCAAACAAACTTACTTCGAGACAAAAACTCACAGTCTGAGTTCCCCTTCTGTTTTGACTCCCATGGAATACAAAGATAATTATTGGTTAACAAACTCCCAAATGGTCAAATATCAAAGCATGTTATGTAGAAAACTCCATGTCCAGCTAGAGGTTGTTAAGACTCTAAACCCAGCCACCCTATCATGGGTCATTCAGGCCCACCAGAGCATGACTGTCTAGAGATTATGGATGAGGCATTCTCCAGCCAGCCAGGCTTGACCAACCAGGCCATTAGTTATCCAGATGTTGAGTGTTTCACAGATGGCAACAGCTTTGTCCGAAAAGACACACATTTTGCCAGATATGCAGTAGTGACTTTGTATGCTGTCATTAAAAACACTACCACTGCCAGTCAGGACTTCTAACTTGGAAAAAAAGTTAAATATGGACAAAAATTCTAAAATTACTAAAAGCTGTATGGGCCCCTAAGTGAGTAGCAATCGTGCACTGCTGAAGGCACTAGAAGTGGGAGACAATAGCTGTTCAGGGAAATTGAAAGGCTGATGGGAAAGCCAAGCAGCCCTCACAGGAGGACAAACCTTAGCCTCACTGGCAGCTGCCTTGTTCCTGTGTCCCTTATATGACACATGACATACTTCACAAGAACAGGCTTGGTTTGAGACATGAGGAGGAAATTTTCTACCAAACAGATGGTGGAAGTTTACTGATGGCCGTATTGCCATACTTGAGTCACTGGCTCCCACATTTTTCGAGCAGTTCCATGAAGGAACTCACTCAGGACAAATAGCCCTTGAGACCACCTTGGCCCAGCATTTTTATGTCCCCAAGCTCTCCAGCATAGGTAAGACAGTATGTGAAAAGTACAGTCTGTGTGCTAGAAATAATCCCTGATATTTGCTGGTGTTTGTCTACACCTTCTCAGGATGGATAAAACCTTCCCCACTTGGACTGAGAGGGGACCTTAAGAAAATAGGTGACCTCACCCTGAGAAAACAGATATAGGCCCTTGATTTGACTCTCTTAAAAATCAATGACTGGATAAGAGAGAGACTCCCTATTAGCCTGAGGACTCCCACATACCTTTATAAACTAGGGGATGCTATCTGGGTAAAGAAATGTAATGTTCAACCATAAAGCCCCACTGGAAGGGCCTTTTGTTGTTGTTTTGTCCACCCCCACAGCAGTTAAGGTAGCAGAGATCATACCCTGCATCCACCACAGCCTAGTGAAGTCAGCTTTCTTCAAATGGGGATGCATCTATGACCCAGTCTCTCCATACAAAATCACCTCAAAACACTAGTGCCCTTGCCTGACAGGACCCTGCTTTCCAGGAGACAACAGGAGACCATAAACAACAAGACATTAGCCCTGCTCTAGTCATTCTGGAAGCTGACTAGACTATGCACAGTGGATGCTTGAGGAGTTGCCCATCTCACCTTTGGGAATGAGTCCCTTCCGTATTTCTTCTTGCTAATCTTGGTCAGTTCTCTACCTGGGGAACCCCAGGCTTTGGACTGTGACTCATGTATGCACACTAACCAAGCAGGGAGTGCTGTTACCAAAACTCTGGTTTTCCATACTTATTACTCTTATGCAGGCACCATTGTTGGGTCATGCACCCACAGCCATATCACCTACTCAGTGTGCTTTAACCCCATCTATTGCCCTCAAGAGCAATGGCTAGAGGTTCAAAGCTTCACCAGCAGTGGGAAGCTTGTTAACTGCACCCAGGTTAATGACCCCAACAAACCTATGTCCATATACTTTGATGTGTGTGCCACAATAGCTAAAAACACCAAGCCTTAAGGCAACTCTGGGTGGGGCTAGCCTGGAAAAGGACTTACAGGTTAAATAACAAGTATATATGTCCAAAAAATAACAGTAGGACATCCAGTTGTGCATCCTATGAACAACTCTACTGCCCTTATTGGGGTTGTGAAAGGTGGGCAACTTGGCTAAAAGGGGAGGTTCATAACTCACATGGAACTGTTGCTCTTTTACAAAAAGGAAAGCAATCCCCAACTGCACTCTTGGTGCCTGTAACCCCATAAAATTCACTATTTTCAACCTCAGTGAAACAGGCTGGGAAGTTGGGAAAAATTTGACTTTTCCCATCTATAAAAAGGAAACAGACCCGGTACTTTGCTGCATTTTCAACTCATCATTATCACTCATGAGAGCTCCTCATACCAGGTCTTCCACTTCTTTTACAAGGAGATACAAAGTGAGTTTCCCATCTCAGTTACAACCAAAAACCTGTTCCTCTCATTAGCTGAGTCCATAGCACAAACTCTGAATGTAACTTTGTGTTGTGTTTGTGGAGGAACAAATATGAGAGATCATTGGCATGGGAGGTCAAAGAGCTAAACCCACAGGAGCCATTTAATGAAACCACTCCCCCAGCATTTGGCTCCTAAACACCTCTATCATTGGTAATTACTGTATCTCCTGCCCAAAGGCCAATTTTCCATCCCAGTAGGGGACTTGATATGCTTAGGACAAAAGTTTTACAGTGATGCTACTCAGGAGACACTCAGTGGTGGGGGGGATCCCAATCACATGGAGCTCCAACCTCACCTGCTGGCTATAATAGTCTGAAATAATCTCAATCTGAGTAACTGCTGTTGACAGATTGATGATGAGGAAAAGTTAATTAAAGAGATTATCGATAAGATAAAAAAGCTTGCCCAGGTCCCTGAGCAGACCTGAAAGGGACAAAGTCCCAATGACCTATTGGGGGCTGGTTCTCAACCCTAGGTGGGTTCAAGACCTTAATACGGATAACATTCCTTGTGTTAAGAACATGCCTGATATTACCCTGCCTAATACCCTGGTACTGTATTCTTTATCAAGATGATGCTCTCTGACCCAGAAGTGGGTCCAAGCATCAAAGTGGGGAATGTGGCAGGAAGGCAGGGAGTGGGGAAGGAGAGTAATGAGTGCTACAGTAAAACAAAGGAAAACCGGAGTTAGGAGGGTCACCTTGCCCCAGAGGTTAAAACAGCCAATGAAATAATATATGATTATGTATGGGACAAGCTGTACCCTCCCCCATTTCTGTAACCTACTCTAAATGGCACATAAGGAAAGCCCCCTTTGTTCTCCATGCTCAGCCTTTGGCCATGAATCCACTGAGTCGCTGCTGGCTTGCTTAATAAACTTGCTTCCGGAAAGCTTTGGTGTGCTCTCAGAATTGACCACAAGAGGCTTTTGGAATCATTTCCACGGTGTAATGCAGGAAACAAATCATAGCAAGAACTGTTATACCTGCTTTTCTGACTCCTAAAGTTGAGAAGTACTGCCTTACATTAGATGTCTTAGATTAACAGCAAAGAAAGGAAGTACTAAAACCAAGGGATGAGAGTGCACACAAATAACTGCTGAGCAAAGCGTCAGCTTTAATAGTGACAGGAGGGACTTTTTCCAAAGACAGAATGCACACAGCAACATTAAAAACCGAGGGCCATTACACTGGCACGCAAAACAGACGTGGGTCTTGCGCTCACGGAGCTTACAGTCAATATCCAACACACACCCATCATCACATTTGGGTTTTGGACTTATCTCAAAGGAATAAACTTTCAGGGCAGCTTCTTATGTAACGCTGATTTTCCAGCAGCGTTCAGCCGGAGCTCAGTAAATGCTTAGGGAACGAATGATGAAGCACAAAGCAAAGTAACCAGTTGCCCTAGCGGAAGTGGAGGCTAATTCCTTCCATTCTGAGAATTCTTCCCTCAAACGAGCAAGCTCCTTAACCACAAATCCTGGGTTTCCAACCCACATTCTGCAGGGAAACGGTGAAAGAGACACGTGAGAGGCCCAGTCTTTAAATTGCAGCGATCCCAGACTGGGAAAGCATCCACAGGATTCATCACATGAAGACCCTAAACCTTGCAGGCGGAGAGACGATCCCACGCCTTCGCAGTCAGCTGGATGCAAACAGCCGAAAGGCCACGCCCCTAATCGAAACCAGCCAATCCAAGCTAGCGGACTCGGCGGCGCGGTGTCTTCTGGGATCTGCGGCTCCCGGGGATAGGCGTTCCTCTTGCTGGGGACTCCAATTCCCGGCGGCCCCCGCGCCCAGCTATTTGACGAGGGAGGAGTCTGGAGAGTGCGAGGGTGGGGAAACAGGCCTTGCCTCTCCCCTTCGCTGTGAGGGGTACTGTGGGTCGCGGAGTGGTACGAGTTCCACGTGGTCTGGTGACTGCGGCTCGCCCACCTCGCTGCTCCTTGAGTCTTTGGGCCTCTGGGCCCACTTCCGGCCGAGATGCCGAAGGTTAAGGCCGGGGCGAGCGGCCGCCGCCGCGCGCGACAGGAGCAGCGCGGGGAGCTGAAGCGCGCCGGCGGTGCGGATAGCCGGGAGGGAACCGGGGTCTGGTCGGGTCTTCCGGCGCGGCGGGAAGCGGGAGGCGCGGGAGGCCGGGGCTTCCTCGTATGCAGCAGGGATGGACTTAAGACAGTTGTCTGTCCCCGCCTGCAGGGGGCTGATCGGTGGCCTCAATGGCGCACAAATCTCCCCACTACCATCCGCTTTCTTCTGTGGGACGGCGTCGATCGTAGTTGGGAAATGAAGCTGTTTCTTGTTTTCTTCCAGGACTCATGTTCAACACGGGGATTGGGCAGCACATTTTGAAAAATCCTCTCATTGTTAACAGCATTATCGATAAGGTGGGTGTGCGAGAGGAAAGGGAGAAAGTGATTGGGTTGTTCATTTTACTCTTTAGGCTACTTAGCCTTCCAGACGGCAGCCTTCTCGGGCAAGGGACTTTTCGCCCCTTAGGTGTGTCCCCCAGCCTCAGGTGACCCTAGCCAGAGTTAAAGAGCAGACTCCAGGGAATGCAGTTTCTGGATCTCTGACAGGTTGTCACAAGCAGAGGGAGAAGACTCCGGTGTGGCCCCAGAGTGTGTAACCTGTGAGTCAGAGTCCCAGGGAGGCAGATACCAGCTGAGCACAAAGATAGTGTAAATTACAGAATGCAGTGTCTTGTGAAGTCACGAGCTCCCTGTTACTAGAATTGTTCATGTGAATTTGTGTGATTACCTTAAAGCCTTGGTTTTAGCAGTTTCTTCTTCCCAAAGTTTCCTTCCCTATGATACTTGTATGGCTGCCTTCTTCTGGGTCATCAGGTATCAGCCTACAAGTCACCTTCTCAGAGGGGCCTTCCTGACCATCCAGTGTAAAGTAGCAACCTAATGTCCCCTATTTTAAGTCTCTGCTCAGCACTAACTATTCTTTCCTACTTGGTGGTTTGTTAGTTGTCCTCCCATCATCACCATTAAAATGTGTTTCATAAGTGCATAGACCTTGTATTTAATACCTTGTACCCAGAACTATAGCAGTCTGTATTGCCTCATATGTGCTCAATAAATACTTGAGTAAAGAAAAATAATACTTGACATGGGCATGGCGATACACTTGTAATCCCAGGTATGGGTTTTTAGTTTGAGGCCAGCCTGTAGTAAATTCAAGAAATAAAATGAATGCTCTGTAAATATTGGTTGAATTAATTAAGAATTGTCTAGGACTCACAGGCTGTCTTTTGCATGATATGTTCCACTCTATGGGGTCTCACTTTCTTCTGACCCCAAATCCTGTCTTTCTGTGGATTACCCACTTCATAGATGGACTTTTGTAATTCCAGTTTATTATTCTCATCACTCCTTAAGTACTCTATCACGGCTAGTTTTCTTTGAAGTCAGGGTTTAAACTATATCTAAACCACACACATTAGTATGTTTGTTCTCCAAAAACACTACATATAAATTCTTTCAAGTATTCCTTGTATATGGATTATTGGTGATTCTCTTTAGTGTTATGGATGATTGAGTGCTAGGAAATGAAATATAGGTGGTGCAAATTACTTTTTCTGGAGATGTAGAAAGAGTATAGTTAAAGATCTTTCTTCATAGTTATCAATATTGGCAGCTGGATGCACACACACAGACCAGTTTTTTGTACTATTTCTTTTAATCCTCATTCTTGAACCTGTATATCACTAAGGATTGAAACTTGGTCCAGCTTGCTGTAATTCTCAGGCAAGTTCATCTTATGTAGTCCTTTACTACTTAAACTTGTTGACATGGACAGAATTGGTCACAAGAGGCTTTTGGAATCATTTCCATGGTGTAATGCAGGAAACCAATCATAGCAAGATCTGTTATACCTGCTTTTCTGACTCCTAAAGTTGAGAAGTACTGCCTTACATTAGATGTCTTAGATTTTCATTTGCACCTAATTGAGGTAATTTTGTGAACCACATATATCATGAAGTCTAAAAACGAAGTCAGTAAGATCTCTCTTTAAGAATTTTTTTTTTCTGGTAGTCTTGAGGTTTAAATTCCTGGCCACACACTTGCTAGGGGCTCTACCACTTAAGCCACGCACCCAGCCACTCCCCCTCTTTTTTCAGGGAAGGGTGCTTCTTTTAGAGATGGTCTTGCTATTTAGCCCAGGCTGACCTTGAACTTGAGAGCCTCCTGACTACCTTCTGAGGGCTGGTGGAGTAGATGTCTTAACTGAGCACTGATGGACAAAGATGTTCAGGTAAACTGTGTGTTCAGATATGGCAGAAGATCTAAAGTTGTGCTTGCTTTTAGGCTGCTTTAAGACCAACTGATGTGGTGCTGGAAGTTGGACCTGGAACTGGCAACATGACTGTAAAGTTGTTAGAAAAGGCAAAAAAGGTAAAAGAGGGGGATTTGGTATCAAATGACTATGTGAGCAAGCTCAGTTTGTTTATAAATATGCACCTGTTCCAATTTATTGCTATTATTTTCATAGTGATCCTTGATCTCTTATTAGAAGTTTTATCTTTGAAAATATGAGGTCTATTAGGAAAACAGAAACTACACTACAAATATTGACAGGGAATTTAATACAGGATTTAGTTACATGTGTGTTGGAGAACTAAAAGTACAAAGTGGGAACACTGAAATAATCCAAAAACAATTGCAAAAAGGAGTTAACCACCTCTAGGCCTGGAGGAACAAAGTAAAGAAGTTGGAGTTACTGGAACCTTTATAGGAGAAGACCTGCAGAGGTAGTGCTTGAGACTGCAGTAACACTACTGAGACCTGCTTTATTGGCTGACCTAGCTACCAATTAAATGGAACCATTGTGGTGTCCTTGGTGGAATCAGGTGACACATTTTAAAGGGCTTGTCTGAAGAGAATTTAATGAAAAGACTAAAATTGTATGGGGATGAGGTTCAAGGAAAGCAGTGAGTATTAGTAACATGGTAGAGAATAGCCACACAAGAAGCAGTTAACATCCACAAACTTCAGGGGAAGGAAAAGGAACTCTTCTAGAGCCTAGGGAAAGTGGGAGTCATTGAAGAGGAGCCTTTCATAGCAAAACACACTTATCACCATAATTTCTTCAAGGCACAGGACAGATATTAGGAAATAAATACTTAACCTCTCTGGTATAGGTGCTCAATAATGCTGATGCCTTTCTTTTTTCTTTTTTTGGTGCCCTGTATGCTTCTCTCTAAAAATGCTGACTATACAAATACATATTCTTTTCATTATCTGAGACTGCAAAGCATAGAGACATGAAATAGGATAATTATGTTAATTATCATATGAGTAGAATTCTCACAGCCAGGCGCCAGTGGCTTACGTCTATAATCCTAGCTACTCAGGAGGCAAGAGATCTGGAGGGGTTCGAAGCCAGCCTAGGTAAATAGTTCTGCGAGACCCTGTCTCAGAAAAACCCTTCATAAAAAAGGGCTGGTGGAGTGGCTCAAGGTGTAGGCCCTGAGTTCAAGCCCCAGTACCACAAAAAAATATATATATATTCTCACATAATCTTGTCTGCTGTTTTTGGTATTAGAATAAATTTGAAGGAATATTGATGATAGAAGAAAAAAGTTTAAATCATATAAATTGTGTATGAGTTACTATTTGGATAATAAGAAAAGATATATGTTATTTAATTAACCTGAAGAAACTTTTTGTTGTTATTAATTTAGGTAGTTGCCTGTGAACTTGACCCAAGGCTAGTAGCTGAACTTCACAAAAGGGTTCAGGGCACGTGAGTATACATAGTAGAATTAAAAGACATTTCAGTCTCATGAAACAACATTTTTCTTAAATTTCTTTTCTTAACTATCAGGCCTCTGGCCAGCAAACTTCAAGTGATGGTGGGTGATGTGTTGAAATCAGATTTGCCATTCTTTGATGCTTGTGTGGCAAATTTGCCTTATCAGGTATGTCCTCAAATTGTCAGAAACATCACACTAAGTGCTTGTCAGGTGTGTTCTTCCTGGAAGTAACTAGTAATTCTCTTACAGATTTCTTCTCCTTTTGTCTTCAAGTTGTTGCTGCATCGACCTTTTTTCAGGTTTGTGATAAAAGACCAGAGTTATTGCCAAATGTTAGAAAGATTGACAGTTTAGGCCAGGAACACAGCTGAAAATAAAGTCAGTTAAGAGAGTAATAGAGAATTTTTATAGGAAAATATTGATTCATATGGAGGTGTTTCTCTTCGAATTGATGGAAGTCATTTGGGGGTGGAAGTGTGTGAGTGTGCCTTTCCCTACTTTCTAGGCCTCTGCCATTTATCTGCATCAAACTTTTATTACCTGCGTATGGTTCAGTTGGCTATAGTTTCATGAACGTTCTGTTTGAGATATATAAACATATATACATAGATATTTTTGTATGTCATACATTTCTTCTTTTTCTTTTTTTTTGTGGTACTGGTGTTTGAACTCAGAGCCTTGTGCTTACTAGGTAGGTGCTCTACCACTTGAGCCATGGTGCCAGGTCAAATACATTTCTTTTGTTTGCAGTACTGGGGTTTGAACTCAGGGCCTACACCTTGAGCCACTCCACCAGCCCTTTTTTTTGTGATGGTTTTTTTCGAGATAGGGTCTCATGAACTATTTCCCCTGGCTGGCTTTGAACTGCAATCCTCCTGCTCTTTGCCCCCTGAGTAGCTAGGATTACAGGCATGAGCCACTGGCATCTGGGTCCAAACACATTTCTTAATGTGATTCATTATCAAAAAAGCCAGGCCAGTGTAGTGCTCATGCCTGTAATCCTCGCTATTTGGAAGGCAGTGATTGAGAAGCTTGCATTATGACTTTAGCCCGGGCAAAAAGTAAGCCCAGTGTGTGGTGAAGTTATTGAGACCCCATCGCAATCAATAAGCTGGATATGGTGGTATATGTGGCACAAGTGTGAGATCCTACCTGAGAACTGACTAAAGCAAAAAAGAGCTGGGGGCATAGATCAAGTGGTAGAGCACCTGCCCTGCAACTTGAGGCCCTGAGTTCAAACCCCAGTACCACAAAAATAAAGTGGGAGGGGGGAGGAGGGAGTAAGGGGAAGTGCAGTTTTAAGGATGTTCTCTAACCTGCCTTTCCACCTCACCTCTTCCTTAGAGTGTTTGCTACCCCACAAACCACAATTCTGCTATGGAGTCAACTTTATTGCTTTTGTAGAAGGGATGATGGACTAGTGCATCTGAAATACATGATCATCTGATCATTGAGGGCATGCCATCTTCCTTGGGGCTAGCAGTATAGCCATTATAAAACAAAAAGCTAGCTGTATCATTTTGTGGTATAAAGGTAAAGCTGAAAGTGCTCTAAATTCTGACCAGCTGAACTAATTGTCCTCTAACCACAGTTACTGCTGTGCTATTTCCCTCCGAAAAAATTCATTATATTGAAATACGTTTATAGTTGAAGGAACTGACCATTTCCTTATTCTTTTCTGCTTTCTTTTCAGGTGTGCTATACTTATGTTTCAAAGAGAATTTGCTCTCCGACTGGTTGCAAAACCTGGAGATAAGTTATACTGCAGGCTATCAATTAATACACAGCTGTTAGCACGTGTGGACCATCTAATGAAAGTAAGTGATTTTTATTATTGAAATAGTCTAGTTTAATGCATTGATGAGCAATAGCTTTGCTTTCTGTGAGGAGAGCATTTTTGATTACAAAATAAATGTTGTCTTTGAGAGGACTAAATGTTTTCTGATTAACAGGTTGGAAAGAATAACTTCAGACCACCTCCCAAGGTGGAATCCAGTGTTGTAAGAATAGAACCTAAGAATCCACCACCACCCATCAATTTTCAGGTGAGCCTAAAATACTAAGTCATTATAAAGGGAAAAGGTCCAGGTTGGAAGACATGCATGTAAAGCAGCAGACAATACTGAATTAACTTAAATGTCCAGACATGGGAAAATGTGCATTATGACACATCTTTGTGATGGAGTAGTTGGAATAATTTGATGCAAGATAGTTATGACGATCTCAAAAAAAACCCCCAAAAAACCAATGGAAACTGTTTTAAAAGGCACAGTGATTAGAATGCAATTACGTTTTGCTTTATAGTTGTGGAAAACTTGTCTATTTGAATAATACTTGGAAAACAAGGTAAAATGGAAATAATTGTGTTTTTATGTTTTGAGTAATATTGTAGACACTTTTTTTTTTCCTCCTTTTCCTTTGTGGTACTTGAAATTGAATCCCAGGCCTTCACTTATGCTAGGCCAGTGCTCTGCCATTGACCTATTTCCCCAGCCCTTGTGGGGAACACTTTTTTTGTGTGTGTTGAGAGCATTTTAATAAAACTTCTTTTTTTTAATGATGAAAAAAAAAAAAGAATCCAAAAAGAAGAAAGTGAAAAAAAACAGAAGAAATAAAAAGAAAAAAAAGATTCGGATCATTTGATGTAAAACCTTGCTACAGTTACATTAGAGAAAGATGATTGTGTGACAAAATGGTAGTAGATGGAATAGTTTGTCATCTCCTTTCAAGGAGACTTGGGTGTGCTGTATAGGCTGTATCCTAAATCATGTCTGTTTTGAATCTTATTTTTGAAAGTGATACTTAGACTTGAATAGATGTCAAGCTATTCTTTGTTCACATGTGGAACAATTTTATATTTTTTCCAATGAAAATTGAGGATAAAAATATACCCAGTGAGCCTCAATGGAAAAATAATATATTTACTAAAGTGTGCAAAAGGGCAAGTATACATTTTTTGCATTTGTGCTAGCCAAATCAAGGTACAGATCATTTTCATCACTGCAGAACTTTCCCCTAATTTTAACTATTAGAATTTTATCTATTCCTACTAGGAATAGATAAAAAGTTTGGTATTTTTAAGAAAACATCCATCTTGTATTTCAGGAATGGGATGGCCTTGTAAGGATCACTTTTGTTAGGAAAAACAAGACACTGTCTGCTGCATTTAAGTAAGTATTTTACTAATTTCTAATGCATGAATGATCAGTGCTCCAGAATTTGATCCTTTTCCCAAACTGCCACTCTAAAACAAAGATTATTCATGTCCAGAGAAACTTCACCTTATAAACTAATTTTTTATGTTTGGAGGCAGAGGAATTAAGAGTTTCTGGAGTTGGGAGTCAGATCAGGTTTTTGTTTTTTTTCAAAAGCGAAAAATGTCCCAATTTGAAATTTGTTTAAAAAAGGGACAGTGATGGATCTTTTCACACTTGAGAAGGATTTGTGTCATTTTAATTTTTTTAGTTTTTTGCAGTACTGGGGTCTGAACTCAGCGTTTTCCCTTGGCAGGCAGGTGTGGTAACTGCTTGAGCCATACCTCCAGCCTGGCCTTGTGCCATTTTATTAAATTTAAAACTCTTAACACAACTTGAGGTCCAAGAGTAAAAGACTGGTGTAGATTTAGTTTGAGAGTCTTGGGATTTTTTTTAAAAAAGGGAATGTGTGCGGGTTTAAGCACAATTTTTCTTTAGAATTTAAAAAGCTGGGGTAGTGCACATCTGTATGTCTGCATGTCTAGCTACTTGGGAAGCTGAGTCAGGAGGATCACTGGAGGCTAGGCATGTGAGGACAACATAGTGAGACCCTGTCTCTTAAAAAAAAAATAAAACAAAAAACAGTGTGGAATTTGACTGGATCTGTTTTAAAAGAAAGAATTTAAGAGATGTTTATCAGATTCTGTTTTCAAAATACTGTATTTGCTTCATAAACTTAAATATTCAACACTTTAAAAGTTTCTTAATTTCACCAAATGGAACATGAATTTAATGTTGTCTAAACTGAAATGAAATTATGTGTAATCTCTGATTTTGGAATAGTGATATCACTTCCTTATAGATCAAGTGCAGTGCAACAGCTATTGGAAAAAAACTACAGAATTCACTGTTCACTCCATAATACTGTAAGTAGAAATTGCTTATGCTGTTTCAGTGATAATTTCTTTTAAAATGTCTTGCTGTTTTTATTGTTTGATCTAGTATTATTATGAGATCTTTTTATTATATACATTCTATTCAATCCTTAATTTTGACTTGAATGCTGCTGTGTATTCTGTGGATTTTTTTCTCTTTTAACTATTGACATTTGTTTTTTACCCTAACAAGAATCAGATTTAGCTGAATTGGAGTTTTCTCAAAGTTGTGGATATGTAGCTTGTTCAACTTAAAATACTGTGTATGATTTGCCATCTTTCGAATTGTGACCTCTCCTTGTTTGGTGTTCATATAGCAATTACAAATTTAAAGTTAGTGTTTTCTTTGTAACTTTAACACTCAGAAATTGAGATAATCAGAATAAAGTATAGGGTGAATAGTAGATTTCAAATTGTGAGCCTCATGTCTCCTCACAATTTCCGTTAAACAAGTATTGGAGTGCTTATTCATATACATATATGCTTTTATAAGAATTTCTTTGCTAACTTTTTAGCTCCTTCAGTTTAAATGAAGCAAAGACAAATTTCCTTTGTGTTTTTTATGGCTCAGATCTTGTATGGTTTAATGTACCACAATACTGTCTCCATTCTCCCTGTTATGAGCAAAGTCCTTAAATACCAGTTTAAGTAGAAAAAAATATTAAGCTGGATTAAGAATCTTTGGGTAAATGCTGTGAATCAACTTCAGCTAGAAATCTAGATCTACATAGAGAAATGGGGAGCACCAGAAGTGGTGACAAAGTAACTGATGTGCCCCTGTCTCTGAACACATGTGTAATTTAAACTTTTAAACAAAGTAATAACCATGTATTGTGCAGTTTGCAACATACTTAAGAAATGCATGGCATTAGCATAAAAGAGATGTTAAGTATGAAACACTTAATATTCTTAAGGGTTAGAGAGGTCATCTCTGAGAAAAATTAGCTGGTGAGATGAAATTTGGGCAAGGAAATGTGAGTTATTTTGAAAGGATGACAATTGTTTTAAATTTTAGTTTATAGTTTTAATTTTATTTAGTCTAATACACTATTTCAGAATTTTAGAAATGCAATAGGGCAATATACATGATTACTTATTTAAGATATTTGTGTTATGTGGTAAAAATGAGCCACTTAGAGATTCAAGTCTTATTCAAACTTTCAGACTTTCCCTACTGTCATTAAGAGATGTAATTTTTTCCATCAGTACTGTGGTTAAAACTCAGGTCATTGTACTGGCAAACTCTCTACCACCTTGAGGTATGCTCCCATCATATAACAGATGTATTAAAGATGACTGTACTAAACTTAAAAAAAAAAAGAGCCAAAAAATATATCATTGAAGATATAGTTTTCATTTATTCTAAATCTTATACTGATAGATAATACCAGAAGACTTCAGCATAGCAGATAAAATACAGCAAATCCTAACCAGCACAGGTTTTAGTGACAAACGGGCCCGTTCCATGGACATAGATGACTTTATCAGGTAAGTACATTTTTGTTTTTCTAAGTGTTCACATTTCTTTATTGTGATACCTTCAGATTAGATTTAAAGGCTTTGAATGTACACTGTGATGTTTACATGTTCCTTTCTTCCCCTCAATTCTTATTCATGGCCTTATTTTTAATAGCTTGCCCCTTCAAAGTAGTCCATAAGGTAGAGAAATCTTAATATGTATAACTGGATTTGGTTCTTAGTATTTTCTTACTGGGAATAGCTTTAAATAGATCTTAAGCATGGAATGTCAGTTTTAATAACTGATTACCTATTTAGTAATAGTTGGTTTGTAGCCTGAGGCAAGTTCTATACATCTTGAGTAAAAGGATGTCATAATTATCTGGGCTATTTAGACTGAAATCTGTTTTACTTGAACTAAACAAGTATTATGAAAATGGAATAAGGCTTCAAGTGCTACTCAGGTATATCAGTCTGTGTTCCTTGCTCTTACTCTTGACTCTGACTTTCAGTTTTTGGCTATTTAGCTAGTTTACTCATGAAAGTGTCTGTGTTCTGTAGGCTGAATTAAAAATGGGGGTAGATTGTTATGAAAGTCCTTGGTTTGACTTTTTCGAAGCTGGAAACAGTTCTGTATAATGTAGGACAAGTAGTGTTTGTTTTGTTGGCTGGCTAGCAGGACTACTAAGTCTTTATTAGATATTAAACCTAGGTGTAGAACACTATTCATAATTACCTACAGTTTGATTTTTCAGACATTTTAATTCATCTGAACCTCTTCCTCTGGGCCAGCCTGAAAATAATCTCAGGTCTATACAGAAACATTTTACCTTGTTTTCCTTCATTCTTACTAAATTTCTTCAAGGGGCAGTTTGCTAACTAAAGTTGGAGGAGTATATAGAGTGTATAGGTATCCGCAGAGAGAAACAATGTATATTTGATTTGAACAGCTCAGAGAATGTGAAGACTGGTTTTTCTGCCTCAAATTCAGCTTCTGAATGAATCATGTTGAAATGAAAAAGTGCCGATGAACTCTGAAGCCTGGCATAGCAAAAGTCTTAGAGATCATTTAAGTCAAATCCAATTTAATTTAAGACACGTATGTTATGTTAGAAGAGGCACCAACGTGACATGGTTTTAACTAAGGTATATCTTATAAATTTAGTTGGAGAATAATTTCTGTACTGATTAGTGTTAGGAGTGGGAGAGTGTATAAATATACTGATATATTTATGTATTAGAATTTACAGATCTGTATACCATTATATGTCACAAACTAGCTTTTCAATACCACCCTTTTTGGCTTTTTTTCCCTCCTGCCAGATTGCTACATGGATTCAATGCAGAAGGTATCCACTTTTCCTAGCCATTTGGAAAACAGAATTTTTCAAGTCAAGATAAAAAGATGATATATTTCTAATATTTGAGAAGATAGACTATGCTTTACTCTACTGGGACATTATCTGTTTGGATATTTTTCATTTACTACTACTGCTGTATCATTGACTATCCTGTATTTTTAAGGTGGTCAGTTCTGAATACCCAAACTTTTTTTATTTTGGTTTGTTTGAATATACTATATAGGGCAGAATCCAATCTGTACATAAATCTTCAAGAGCCGCAGGTACGCACAACCTTAAACTTACCATTTCTGACAGTTTATTGTATAAAGATGTTGCTCTTTTTCTACTTACTGTGTTATATACTATGAGGCTCTCTTCAGGGCTTTGATCTCATTCTCTTAAGTAAAGTGAAACTATTCTCAACCAATCACACATTCCCTCGTATCATTTTTTCTTATTCACATGTATATAGTAGAACAGTTTTTGATGTTAATTTGCTTCTTGTTCTTTTCCTCATTTATCTTATATAATTTGTTCCAGTACATGTCTCTTCAGCTGTCCTGCTGCAGCGTAGACTATATGAGGGTTCTGGATAAGCGTGAGCCTGCTGCCATCATGCAATTTCAGGCATGTTCTGGATATGATTCCTGACCCTCTAAAATGAGGAATTCAACTAGATTGAAATTAAGTATAAAATTATATGTCTTTTCTTGGGGAGACAGTCACTTGCCAGCTTTAAATTTAGAAAAATTTCAATGGGTTTTGTAAATCAAAATAGGTTTTCAAACCTCTGCTTTCAGCTACTTTCCCACAACTGTAGGTTCCCTGCCATTTATCACTTCTGGATAATTAAAATTGCCAGCACCTAATGCTTATTTTTAAGCTACTTAAAAATTGTCAGATTGAGAATTTTAGTAGATGTCACAAACAAGTTTTATTAGCTACTGTATTTAAAATCAGTGCAATACTACTTGCTAATAATATATTAAAGAATAGTAGCTATTTAATTTATATAAGAAAATTAATAAGAATATCTTCATTGATATTTGGCTTTATTTGTACCCAAAACTTAATAGGAATATTTCCAAATAATTTAGCAAAGGTTCATTGAGTAAACTTAGAAGGGAAGGTAAATTGTTTGCCTAAACAGATTTTTTTTGGTAGTACTGGGATTTGGATTCAGTGCCTTGTGCTCGCTAAGTAAGTTCTCTACCACTTGAGCCATACCTCCAGCCCTAAACAGATGTTTTTTGAAATCTGACTTTAAACTTACAGTAAATGCTGCTGTATAATTAAAACAATGCATAATCTTAACAGACATCAGCTTTCAAGTCTAAGTACTAAAGAATGTTTAATCTAGAACAAAAAAAATTAAACTGACTTAGCTGCGTCAAGCTACTTTTGTTACGTGAATGTTAAATATACTTAAGCATTGATATTTTTTCTAATATCTCACAAAATCACTTTGCAAAGTTCACTTGCACCATCTCTATCCTTATAGAAAACAAAGCTTAAGATTTAATTCATCTTTCTTAGGTGGTTTCCCTATCCCCTAGGAACTACTGAATTTTAGTCTCTTTTTCTGGCTTTCAGTTTTCCCTATCTGTAAAGCTGATTATACCACCTCCTGGGATATTTTACTAGTACTAATTTTTGAATGTCTTCACTAATGATCAGAATGAAGCCATCATAGTATTTAAGGCAGCATATTTATTTATAAAAAGATCTTTCGAAGCTAGTACCCACCTAATGCAAATAGAACTAAGCTGTTGTGCTTACAGTGAGCATTTTCACATCTTTATTGCCCCTTGAAGATTGGTCAGTATTGAAAACTGTCTTTTTAAACAGCCTCTGTAAGGACAATAGAAACAGTTTTCCATTTTTCCTTTTGTCTTTGAAATAAGCACAGAGTATATGTTACAACTGCAAGAAAACCCGAGTTCCTTCTAAAATAAAAGTGTATGTATTGAAGTAAATTATCGCTAAATTCATTCCATTTCATTTATTAATAAGCATATTATGAAAAATCTACATTTGTTACAGATTTAATGTTTTCAGAGGTTTTCATCTTGGTATTAGGATTTCTGACAGTTACCCTCTTGAGTTATGAACAGTGAAGTAGAGAATCTGGCTCATGTGACTATTCATAGCTTCCCTTTGGTTCATGAATAAGCTTGTAGTTCCCTTGAGTAATAATAAGATATCCTTGGAAAGTTTTTTTTTTTTTTTTTTATTAATCTACTCCTGGACTGCATCCTGGGAACTGAGAGAAAACTCCTAGAGCAGTATATAAATCTTTAAACACCCTATTTACATGAAAAATGACCAGTTTTCTTCCTTAAGAGTAGCAATTTGTAAAAGTAAGTGCTATCATTTAAAGAGTAGACCACCAGGGTATTAGTGAGAATACACTGTTCTCCCCAAATCATGTTGAAACATCACACATTAGGTACTGGATGGAACTAGGTGAGACCTGCCTTTTAAGGCAATGTCAGCTATTCCTCAGCTTAATTCCTTTTCAAGAGAGTTATGTACTGTCTACACTTGATTCAAACTAATTTCTATTATGAATTACTTTCAATGTACAGATAAATGTTCATGTATCAGAAACCAGTTTCCTTTAACAGTACTTACAGAAGGTAAATTTTGGGGTGCTAATGAGCACCCCAAACTTAAGTAATGGTATTGGTAAGGATCAAACTACACTATTAAATTTTTTAATACCACACTGGCACGCACACTGCATATATGTATTATCCTAAGATAAAACTCTTCTCAGAATTTTGTTGCTTTTTATTACACCAACTAGTTTATATTTTAGTTTTTTTACAAAGAAAATGCTAAGAAAATTATAATCACATGTTATATGGTTTTAAAAATCATAATTCCAGATTTCTTTACATGTAAGTTGGAGTGGTCCAGCAGCTATGTCCACTGTCACAGACTTTAGTTCCGTTCGATATGGCACATCCTGCAAAATTAACTAGTCACACAAAAAGTCTCAAATACAGTAAAAATGTACACACAGTAAGGTAATTTACAATGACGTAAGGAATGTAATTTATCTTGGCTGTGCTTCAGAAATTTAGGGTCAGTAGCCTTAGTCAAGGCACAAGAAGATGAGCACAGCTGTCTCTAGGAGTGGCAAGGTATGTACAATCACTGATGAGGTATGCATGCATGCAAAGTATTTAAAACTGCTCAGTCTTGCTACGAAAATTTAACTGAGTTAAAAGGAAATGCTGAAGCTTTCTCCTACCCTCCACTCTGGATCAAGTCCACAATCTTATTTAATCAAGTGGAAAATAAAATTGGCAAGGAGCTCCAAAAGTAAATCACTATTTGGGTAAATGAAACAAAATACTTCACTAATCCCAGTTCTTGGTTGTGCTTCCTGGATTGGAAGCATTTTCTAGGCAAAGAAGTTTTATCACAAAATTGAAATGTCTTTCAGGTGAAGGACAAGACATTTCCCACAGATACTTGAATTTCAAACTTTCAAATGGCCCTTACAGCTGAACCATTGTATGTTATACTAGTGAGAGTTCTGGGGATCCTTTAGCAGCAACTTCTTTGCTTTTCTAGTAAAGGAAAAGGTAATAATAACCTGGCCCCCAAAATGTGACCACTTGACATTTTTTCCAAGAAACTATTTCTTAGCTCAATTCTGTGGACCCTGGACCCTTGCTCTCCTGAAGAAAGTATGACTAATTGTGGCCCTTTAGAATCTAGCCAGACAATCTCAGAACTGGCCTCCCAAATTGTACATTCTTTATTTCATGTACAAAGAATGACTAATGTATGTAAGGAAAATTTCTAGGTAGAATAAAATTTATTACTTCACTTATAATGCACACTGCACTTTGAAAACCTGTCTTTTTATTAGGTAAAACAAGTGTTATTTTCTAACCGAGCAAACAAAATTCAAGTGAAAAGTAAAAGACCTTTCACCATTAAGTACATTTTATTTACCTTGAGTGCCAAAAGGCTTTTATTAATTTCAGCACCTTCAAGCCTAGTTTGCCTGTCCGCACTGGAAGTATCAGCTCCTCTTTCATTTCCAGCCAAATCGATGAGGGAAAATTTGCCATGTAGTTTTCCTTTCCTTCTAAGAATGATCTGAAACACTGCATAGCTCTAAGATAATGTGTGTTTGCAGATGTCTGACTGGTTGTTCTACAATGTGGTTAAGGACATCTTGATACATAAAAACTTTAGTTTACATGTTAACAATGGTATTTTCATTTAAAAAAAGATCTAGGTAGCCAGTTTTCATCATTGAAACCATTTAGTAACAGATATAACCAGATCCATAAAACTTAATCTCACACCCTTCTAATCTGTTTATAGCATGGTATCAATAACAGATATCACATAAATCACTATGTAACAAAAAGTTTTTATGAACAATGATTTTTACTTCCAAGACATTTTATTAAAGCACATCTTAGCTTTGCTTTGACAGTAACCCCACAGTATCTAAAACTAAAGGTTCCCTTTCCTGAGCTTTACCTGCAACTGTTGCCGATGTCAATGAGTTTCAGTACATCTTCAACACATTTCACCTCCTGTTCCTGTAATCCCACCACTTGAACCTGCTGTTTTCCATCTTCTAGTACTTTTAATTTTGTTTTCCTATTTAACAAGTCAAACACCTATGAAAAACCATATTCAAATTAGAGAACTAGCTTAAAAAAATCAGTTCTATAAAAACAAAGTCACAGCCTGAAAATTACTTCAAAGATGAAAATAAAGGTCCTTATTATTATATTCATAGTGCACAACATTGGGAGCTTTAACTGACATTTGAAAATCTCAAGACATAAATTCTAAAAGAATATTCTAAATATATATAAAGTTTGAGGTTGGTAGAGGTTGTAAAACAATGTGGATATGTTTAATGTAACTGAATTGCACACTTAATGGTTACAATGATACATACATTGTACCAATTTGTTTGTTTGTATGGAACTGTACTTAGGATTTCACAAGTGCTCTAACAGTTGAGCCATGCCCCAAGGGTCTTGTGCTTTTTGCCAGTGTCCTCAC